CGGTCGGGTGGGCAGGAGGAAGGACGAGGCCGGGTCGCGGCAGCAGCCATGGCGGAGCCTGGGGACCAGAGCATCCACACGCAGCACATCTCGGCCGTGCACAACGTGCCCATGCGGGTCCTCATCCGGCCCATCCCCGCGGAGCTGGAGCCAGGCAAGGTGCAGAGCCTGGTGGAGACCCTGCAGGTGAGCCCCGGGGGGGCGGGGGCAGCCACCCCTGCACCGACCCACGCCACCCTGGGGGGCACCGCCGGGGAAGCTCACGGCACCGAGGCCCCGGCACAGGGGGGTCGGGGGGTGCCGCGGGGTGCCGGGGCGTGCGTTGCTCTCGGGGGTCTCCCTCTTCCCAGGAGGACCCCGAGCGGGTGCCCCCCATCGACGTGCTCTGGATCAAGGGCAGCCAGGGGGGCGATTACTTCTACTCCTTCGGGGGCTGCCACCGCTTCGCCGCCCACAGGGCACTCAACCGGGAGACCATCCCCGCCAAGATCATCCCCTCCACCCTCAGCGACCTCCGCACCTACCTGGGCTCCTCCACGCCCCACCTGCGCTAGCCCGGTGGCCCCGGGGCACGCACGGCCCCGCGCTGCCCGGTGGGGGGGCCGCAAGGTCCCGGTGGGCTGAGCTGCGCCTGATCCCGGGTCCCCGTGAGGCTCCGGTGGGGCTGGGGTCAGGGGCCCCGGCCCTGGGGGGTCCCCGCGGCCCCGGGGTCTCCCCGCGCCCCTCCGGCCGCGATGGGGCCGGGACTCGCTGGAACCGGGAGGCGACCGGGGCGGCGCGGCGGGGCCGGCAGGTGGCGCTATTGTGCCGCGCTGCGCCGGGACGGGACGGGACCGGGATGGGACCGGGATGGGACCGGGATGGGACCGGGAAGGGAACGGGATGGGAACGGGATGGACCAGGACGGACCGGGACGGGACCAGGACGAGACGGACCGGGATGAACAGGACGGGATGAATCGGGACGGGATAAACCGGGATGGGAACAGGACGAACCGGGACGGGATGAACCAGGATGGACCAGGATGAACCGGGACGAACTGGGACGGGAACAGGATGGACCAGGACAGGATGAACTGGGACGGGATGGACCGGGATGGACCAGGATGGGAACGGGATGGGAACAGGACAGACAGGGACTGGATGAACTGGGACTGGACGGGACGAACCAGGATGGGATGAACTGGGAAGGAAACGGGACGGGATAAACCGGAATGGACCAGGACGGACCGGGATGAACTGGGATGGAGCAGGATAAACCAGGACAAACCAGGACAGGAATGGGGCAGACCATGACAGGATGAACTGGGATGGGAACGGGATGAACCGGGATGGGATGGACTGGGATAAACCGGGACGGGAACAAGAATGGGATGGACCGGGATGGGATGAACCAGGATGAGATGAATCGGGATGGGATGCAATGAACTGGGATGGGATGAACCAGGACGGGATGGGATGAATCAGGACGGGATGAACCATGATGGGATGAACTGGGATGGACCAGGATGAACCAGGACAGGACGAACTGGGACAGGACGGACTGGGACGGGATGAACCGGGATTGGACAGGCTGAACCAGGATAGGATGAACCAGGACAGGATGGGACAGGCTCAACCAGGGCACAGCTCAACCAGGAATGGCTGAACCGAGACGGGACGGGCTGAACCGGGGCGCACTGGAACTGGGCCAGGTCACAGCCCATCCAGTGCACAGCTGAACTGGGAAGGGGTACAGGCAAACTGGGACACAGCCAAACCGGGACACAGCCATACCGGGAGGAGGCACAGCCCGTCCCCAGGCCTCCCC